ACACCCACTGCCTATGAAGCTGTTAAAAGAATAGAAAGAATATTTTCACAGACATGTCTGTCTTCCTGTTGGGAAAGCCATGTTTACTCAGAAAAGATCCTATCGTTGAAATTGTTTCATGAAGGTAGAAGGGTGGGGAACCTGTGGCTTTCTGATTTCAAGATTGTTCTTTGTACCCATGGAGGCAAGAGAAGCTTCATCTTTCTCTGCTTTATGCCTTTAAATAAAAGTTTTTGTTCTGTAAAATTTGGATTCACTGAAAAGGCCGCTCTTGGCCTTACAGGTGGCTTATTATTCAATGTGCAAATTAGGAAAGCCTTTTATTGCTTTTTTTCAACACATTATGAATAGATACACTATTCTCTGGTGAATTCCAGTGCATAAACTTTAGTAATTCAAGTTGATATTCAATTAAAGTTGATCTCAAATATTTCATTGCTCTGTCTAGGTTGCGTGTGTGTATTTTTATGCCTCTTTCTCCTCACTCTTTTCCAGAGCACACACATCCTCCAGTTTCAGCAGAGGTGCACACGTGGATTACTTTGTAATTGTAATAGGCCTACGTGTATCAGTATCTAAAAATATATTCTTTCAGAGATGTTTAGGATAGCTGATTTTTATTAGGCATCACTGTCGTTAAAACTTCCCTTTTGCAAATAGGGGGTAGATTGGAGAAAGAACATCTTAATATAATTATTATTTAAGATTAAAGAATAAATCATGGAAATGATCAAAAGAGTATCAAAAAGAATAGAAAATGAGGTTCTGATGGCTACTAAAATGTTTCCTTTCTGATCTTCTAGTACATTCTGTCCTTAAGAATGTAGAAGTTAACTTCTCTAGAGATTTTTCATGAACTGTGGTGATTCCCAGAGGTTCCGAGAGAACCTACTGGTGAAATGTGATGATTAAGTGAAGGAATCTCATTAGAGGAATTATGTTTGCTTTCTGCTTCGACACCACACTTTCCCAAAGAGACTCATAAATAAATCTTTCTGACAAAAACACACAAGTACAAAAGAATCAAATTCAATGGTTTGTGCCCAAATGTTTCCCAGGAGAATACAGTTATTTAAACATGAATTATTTAAAAACTAAAACAGTCTCATTATTTTTAGCAGTTTTGCATAAAGATAATGGGTAGCTTATTGTACTGTTATGTATGTAGAGGTTATAATTCATGTGAATTCTTTTCAGGGAAGTTCTTCAAAATCATTTGGATTTTTCTGGAGCAGTTTTCTTCAGCTCTTAGAAATAATTTGTTTGTCATGCATGGTCCTCAAATAAGTACAGAAATCTCAGTTTTCCGTGTTTTATTTGAGAAGTTAAATGTTAATAAAAACTAACAAATTTATGATCCAGAATCACTATACTTATCCAGTATATTTAACTGCAATTAATTATTTTTAATCCATAGAGATGTGGTGAATCAGAGGTCTTAGATGAGAAGGAGTCTATTTCTTCAGCCTCTCTTGCCGGATCTAGTTTGCCTGTTTTCCAGAATGTTCTGCTAAGGTTTTTGGATACACAGGCCCCCTCGTTGTGTAAGTAAAGAAAGCTCTTTGTTCCACTCTACTGACCAGATAACTAAAAAATAGCTCTTTGCTTCTAGATCCTTGCAGTTGTGGATAGTGCTGCAGTAAACACGGGAGGACAGATATCTCTTCAAAATAATGATTTTCTTTCATTTGGAAAACTTTCCCGTAGTGGGATTGCTAGCTTGTGTGGTAGTTCTGTTTGTAGCTTTCTGAGGGACCTCGCTGCTGTTGTGCCTAGTGGCTGTACTAAGTTGCATTCCCATCAGCAGTGTGCCAGCGTTCCCCTTTCTTGACATCCTCACCAGCATCTCTTATTACCTGTCTTTTTGATAAAAGCCTTTGTAACTTGGGTGAGATGATATCACATTGTGGCTTTCATTTGCGTTTCTCCGATGATTAGTAATGTTGAGCCAGGGGACAGCAGTCTAGCCCTGCTTAATTTCTTTCTTTTGTCTTTTTTAACCTGAATTTTTTACATAGTACTTAAATGGTTATTTATTTGTTAAAGATTATTGTTTCTAAACTTGAAATTGTGCTTGGCATATTGGATACTATTTTTCAATTGTGGGAGACCATCAA